CGGCCCGAGGGACCCCAGCCGCCCCCTACCCACCAGGTCTCCGTGGCTGCGGGCCAAGGGGCAGGCCACCTTCCGCGTGCGGGCTCTCCGGGGCGCCGCCGCAGGGTCGCCCGGCGTCGGGTCTGGGGGGGGCAGAGATGCTGGGGCCCAGGGCTGCACCCCAAACTAGAGAAGACCCTGGGGCCCTGCCTACCCACACGGGGGTGGTGGGTGGGCACAGGGACCCCGGGGACCACCTGCACCCCTGTAGCCCGCATCTGTGCCCACCTTTGTGTCCTCCCACTGTCCCCCAGCGACCTCCACCTGGCCCGGCCTCCTCCTCTGCCTGCCTCCCCTCCCCCTGCCCCTCCCGTGCCCACTGCGCTTCTGGAGGGGGTGGGATCTGCCCCGAGCCTGCCCCCCCCCAGCCTATCAGGGGGCCAGGTACACAATCACCTCCCCGACTCCCAACCCCTGCCGGGCTGCCTCTGCCCACTGCCCTGCCGCGGCCCCTCATCCTCCAACTACCACCAGCCCATGCCCACACCCCAGGGGCTGCCCAGCCCACCCCCTGCCCCCCGCCCCGCAGGCCTCACCTGCAGCCTCCAGCCCCCAGGCGCCTGGCGATGGCATGAGGGGCTGTGGGGAGTCTGGCCGCGGCAGACTCCAGGTGCCCCTGGGTTCTGGGGGCTGTGGCCTGCAGCTGGGTGGGCTCTGGGGGGTGCCCGGGCGGGGGACCCAGGGCTCTGGGGAGGGGCCGGGCGCGGCGTGTGAGGGAGAGTCCAGGCCAGAGTCCTCCACATTTTCGGGGGATGAGGAGGAGAACGGGGAGGGGCTGGAGGTGAAGCCAAGGCTGCTGGAGCCTAGGGACGGAGGGGCCTGCTTAGACCACGCCGGCCAGGGCGCCCACCCCACCCCAAGCCTACTCCCAGTCACCGGTGAAGTCTTCGTGGTCCAAGGCCGACTCCAGCGGTGGCCCAAAGAGGCTCTTGGACACCTGCTCGTCAGAGGACAGCGGCTTCTCCGTGCAGCTGGGGAGCAGGGGACAGGGATGGGCTCTCTGCCTTGCCCTGTCCCCCACGGTGCTGTTCCCTGTCTGGCACTCTGTCCTGGTCCTCCGACCCCTTCAGGGGTCAGCCGGAAGCCACCCCTCGGTGAGGCCCCCTAGGGGTCCCCCTCCACCGGCTGCTGGCATCAGGCTCTGTGGGGCTCCACAGTTCTGAACACCAACCAGCAGAAGAAGACCTGCCTTGGTCCCAGACCCCCTGCCCAGCCCAGGACAGGCACACAGCCAGACTTAAGGAATGCCCATCAAGAGAAAGGCTACACATCCCAGATAAAAAGAGCCTGCACTGTCTCCATGCGTCCAGGGTGGGAGAGCGGTGGGTGAGGCGCAGGGGCACAGCGGGAACTCACCTGCTGGCCCTCGGGGCTGACCGAGGCCTCTGCGGCTTGCCAGCGGTGTCCCCTGCAGGAGAGACCCCCCGGAGCCCATGTCACCCCCGCCATGCTCCACACGACTCAGGTGGGACCAGGCTGCGCTGGCCAAGACCACTGAGCAACCGCAGTCTGCCTCCTTTCCCACCCCTGCCACGACGGAGGGTCAGAGAGCAGCAGGAGCCTTTGAACTGGGTTCAAAGGCCACTAACCGCCCCCCCCCCCAAGCCCAGTTCACCCTCCTCGCCCTTCCCAGAGCAAGACACTCACGGGAAGAGTGGCGCTTCATGGTGCCCTGCAGACAAGCAAGACAGGGTCAGGCTGGGCTGCATCCAGCCGGCTCCCCACACACAGCCGAGGCTCCCCTCCCACACCTCACCCCGGGGCCGGGAGGAAGGATGAGGCTGCCGGCCGTGGCCCTGAGCTGCGCCACGGAGGCCTCGGAGCTGCAGGCCGGGGCCCGGGGTGGAGCAGGCTTGATATGCACGTAGAACTTCCGGGGCTCCTCGTCGTCAAAGTCCGAGTCGCTGGATGAGAAGCGAGAAGGCTCGGCCGTGCGTAGGCGGTGGTCAAGGAGCCAGCAGACAGCAAGTATACCCTGCCCGGGCCCACACCCCCTCGCAGTGCCCAGCTACATGGCACACTCCTATTCAGCTGCTAAACCCCACCATGGTGCCTGTCCTTCAGGAAAGCAGTTGGCTCTCCATCTGGGGCAGCCCTCTCCCCTGGCCTCTCTTCCTGTCCCTGACCCAACCCAGATGAGCACAAGGCGGATGCCCCGCTCGGGCCCTGCCCTGCAGAGGATATTGTTCTGGGTCATATCAGGCCGGACTGTGAACCCCTCTTCGTCCACCTCTGGACACATCTGGGGGAGATGGAGGCTCAGTTTCCCCAGTAAAAACTTCTCCACCTCACTCTCAAGTCCTAGTTTGGACCTTAAAACAGAAATCAGCTTCCCTTGCTTCCAGGAGAAACTGAGGCTCCAAGGGCTCGCCAGTCCCGCCATTTGAGCCAGGAAGCCCACAGCAGCCCCAAGCTCCAGCTACCTGGTGCCCACCAGCTCCTGACTCTGATCAGGCTCCGCCCACAGCACCCAGGTGCCCCTCCCAAAACAGGCCACACCCACACCTGAAATCCCTGCCCTGTGCCACCCAGAGGCCACGCCCCCAGCACGCACCCCTGAGTTGGGCTCCAGGAAGTCTCTGGGACAGGAAGGCACATCGTCAGTTCAGAGTCACACAGACCCACAGGGTCTCAAAGTGGGTCGCCTGGGGGAGGCTTTGGGGATGGGGGTTGAATGTGGAGCAGGGGGCGGAGCTGGGACAGAGGGGGGCTAGGCCCGGGAGGCGGGGTACTTGAGCAGGTTCTGCTGGCTGGGAAGCCTGGCTGAGCTCTGGCAGAGGGACAGTTCTAGATTAGCGCATGCAGAGGTGCTGCAGGGCACCCCTGGGGACAGTCCAGGGGCAGCCTGGGCAAGGGCCGGAAGGGGGGGGGCCCTGGGCACAGTGGGACGCAGGGCGGCTCCTCACACAGCTGCAGGCAGCTCTCGCTCCCGCCGGCTGAGGCCAGGGAGGCGGAAGGCCTTGGCTCCCCGCAGCCGCTTCATTGCTGGGGGGAGATGAGCGGGGGCTGAACCCAGCCCCTCCACCGAGTCAGGCCTGCCTCCTCCCGCCCCCACCCCCCGCCCAACGTCCCGCCTGGGCGCACGGCCCAGGCCAACTTGCCTTCCTGTAGGGTAGCTGCACGATACGCCTCGAAGTCCAGAGGCCCTGAGATAGGAGAGACAGACAGACAGACATGCCTGAAGCTGGACAGAGCCACAAGGCCACTGGGGCCAGGCCACATCGGGGCACACAGATCCGAGCACAGTCAGGTCCTGAGCAGAAGCCCACGGGGCCATGAGTGGCCGGCTGTGGCAAGCCCAGACAGCTCACATGTGGCCCGGTCTGGTCTGGTCGGCCTCGGGTCTGAGCTGGCCAGGGTTTGGGCCTGTGAGCCAAGCCAAGCGGCTGGGACACAGACGAGGGCCGTGGGAGGAGGGACAGGCCTTCCTGGCTTTTACACTTGGGGTCCAGGCCATTCACCCACATTTAGTGCCTGCAGTGCCCAGCACATAGTGTTTGACTACTGCATGTTATTTATTGTCAACCCCCCTTTTCAGACAAGAAAATGGAGGCTTGGAGAAGTGAAGACCCTGAGTGGTCCAAGGTCATCCAGGGGGAGAGGAAGGGATGGCAGACCCAGGCCTGGCTCAAAGCTCGCCCGCCCTGGGTCCATGTGGGGAGCTCAGGATCCCCACTCCTCAGGGGCCGCCACGCAGCGCCTGTGCACACTGAGCCTGGCTCTCAAGGCCCCACCGGGGTCTGAGTAGCACAAGCATCGGTGCAGACGCGAGGCGGGCGGCCAGGGCCGCCCTGGGCTCACCCGGCTTCTCCCGACCGGTGCCCTTGCTCTCAGCAAACGTCCGGAGCAGCATCTCCACGCTGACGTTCTCAATGTTCTGCTTGAACTCCTCGTGCACCTGGAAGGGGCAGCCCGGAGTCGGGAGGACCGTGCAGGGCCCATCGGCCGCCCCTGCCTGAGCCTCTCACCTGTTCCCAGCCGTCGCCACCCTGGGCCAGCTCCCGGTCCAGGTCCTCACCTGCCCAATCTGCACGTGTGTGTCCTCCACCGAGTGTGCGTAGGAGCCCAGCAGTGCCTTCATGTGCCGCAGGTGCGTCTCCTCCAAGGCTTGGAAACGCTGCGGGGGAGAGGGGGTGGGGAGGGCGGTAAGGGGACAGACAGCAGGACACGTGGATGGACACCTGGCCAGGCACGCCCTTGGATGTGCTCAATCCTGAGCCAGAGTGGGCGGGATGCAAATGAGGAGCTGGCAGGGGCGTGGCTCGGGATGCAAATGAGGAACTGGCTGGGGGCGTGGCTCGGGATGCAAATGAGGAGCTGTCCGGGGGCGTGGTTTGGGATGCAAATGAGGAGCTGGCCGTGTGGCTCGGCATAGGGTCCCTGGGCGTCAAGCCTGAGGTCCTGCCCCCTCCCCCCTTGAAATAAAGCGAGTAGACACTTGGGCCACTTTCTGTGTGAGCACCCAAGGGTGTGTCTGGTGTCCCAGACAAAGGGACTCCCATCCCAGGGAGGAAAAGACCTGAGAGGCCCAGACTCAGCCCCCTGCCCACACCCCCTGAAAGCCCAGATCCAGCCATGCAGGAAGTCCTCCCCACCACCACCCCTCTGCCCCGTCTTCCATGGACCCTACACCTCAGCTCAAACAGACTTCCACCTCTTCCTCCGCACAGAATGAATCCTCATCTGCTTTTCGCACACGTGGGTGGACAGGGAACCTGGCTCTCACCATAGCTGAGTCCAGCATCTTGTGCTCAAAGTCTGTCCGGGCCGAGTTGTACTTCTCCACCGAGCGCCGCAGTCCCTCGGCTGCTTTCTTGGTTTTGGCTTCTGCCTGGGAGGGTCCGAGAGGAGCGGCATTGGGAAGGGACACTTGGGCCGCTCTGTTGCGTGCCCCCGCCGGGCAGGTGGCCCGGGCTGTGTCCCCTGCGTGCACGCGCACACGGTAGCACCTTGTCCATCTCCTTCTGACTGGTGCTCTCCCGGCGCAGGCGCTCCTGGTCCATGCAGCGGCTCAGGTAGTTCTCGCGGCACTTGGGCAGCAGCTGGCTGACGCCGGCCAGCACGTGCACCGCGTCCAGCGTGCCCAGCACCTCCTCCTTACACTGCGGACCGAGACAGCCATCACAGAACGCCCCACACCCCTGTGCCCGGCCACCCTCATTCCCAGGCATGTCTCCCATCTGAAGTATTCAGGGCCCCAGGGGTGCAGCTCGGGGCTGGGTGCTTGCCCGCACCCAGGCCTAGGTTCACCCAAGCACCTAAGTCAACGAACGTAACAGGAGGTTTTAAACAAAGATACAAAACACGTGGATCAAATGCGGGGCTCCTGGGAAGGCACCTCGAGATTCTGCATCTACTGGGGTGTAGGCGTGTTTTGGATTCCGTCGGTAGCTGGGGTTCAGGCCCAGCCCCTCATCACAGCACCCCGCCTCACTTTACAGAACCATGCTTTCCCGCAGCGCTCAGACAAAGGCAAAAGCCTTTGCGTGTCAGGCTGGGGCTTCTCCTTTTCTGCGGAGCAGAGGGTTCGCTGGGGTCCCCGGACCCGAGTCCCTGCTGCAGGGTTTCCTGGGGCCCGGGGGGCGGGCGGCGGGCTGGGTGCCCCACACACGCACCTTCTTGTGGGATTTGAGCTGCTCCTCGCCGTAGCGGAGCACATCCTTGATGAGGTCCTGCAGCTTCCGCGTGAGCTCCAGGTGGCACAGAGCCAGCTTGTCGGAGGAGACTCGGAAGACCTCCCAGAGTGGGGCAAAGGTCCTGTGGATGGTCACTCTTCCAACTCCACTCCGCCCCCAGCCTCCGCCTCAAACACACACTGTGCGCTAGCCCTGCCCAGCTTTCTAACCCTCGGGAGCCCGAGGGTGGGCTCCTTCTTCCCAAGGTGTGGGTTCGAGGAAGCTGGGCCGCCTCCGGCCCAGCCCAGGAAAGGGCTCCATTCCTGTCTGAGCCCGTGGCGGGAAGGCCACAGGGGTGGCTGGTGGTGGCCGGCACACGGCGGGGCGAGGACATGTCCCTCCCGGGAGGACTCCCAAGGCCCGGCCGCACTCACCCCATGGGGGTCCCATTGCTGGCCAGCTTCGAGAGTTTGGCCATGGCCTTGGAGTAGGCCTCCTCCACGGTGGCCCTGGTGGGAGGAGAGGGCACTTTCCAGACACCCTGTGAGAGGCGCCATCAGGGCCTCAGTTTCCCCTTTTCAATGCCATTTCCCCTTCACAGGCTTTACCACAAAGGTGGTACACGCAGCGGCAGGTGCACGTTACAAAAGCCGATGCGTGTACGTTCTTGAGGCCGGGCCTGGCGCGCCGCCCCGCTCTCGGCCCTCGCGGCCCACGCGCCTGGCTCCCGGAGGAGGCGCCGTTTAAAGCCCCCAGATGTAGGCGTTTGGGCTGGCGGCAGGAGCCCCCCGTGACTGGGGCCCCCAAACCAGGCGACTTGAAGGGAGGATAAGGGGTGTCCGCAGCATCAAGAACCCCTTGGACTTCTGAAGGTCCAGGAATCGGGGCCAGAGGGGGCGTGGCCTCGAGGGCCTGGGGCGTGGCCACGAAGCGCACGCGTGGCCTTGTATGGCTAGGCTGTGGGCGTGGTCTTGAGGGGGAGGAGCCGCGTGGAGGGCGGGGCTCGGGCCTCACCTCTCCCGGATGAAGTCGGCCAGCTCTTTGGTGGAGATGGGACCCTGCTTCACACTGTGATACAGGACTTCAAAGCCATGGTTTTTCTCACCCTGCAGTAAAACGGGGTTCAGCCTAAGAAGGGGGAGGGACAGTCTCCAGGTTGCCTAACAACAGCCAGGGCAGAGCCAACCCGCACAAGTCTGTTCCTTGGCTGTTGGGAGTGACTCAGGCCTGAGCCAATCAACAGGCCGCATTGCCTGTGTGGTCAAGACGGGTTGGCTGACGGGTTTTAACTGCGTCCAATCAGAGAGAAGCTTGTTGTTTTTTGTCCCACCTTGAGGGAGAAAAGTCTCATTTGCCCTGTGTCTCCTTTCTTTGTGTCTGTGTGTCTGCCTCCATTTGCTTGTCTGATTATCTGGCTTCACGGAGAAGAGGGACTGTGTGGAGATAGTAGATGCCAAGTGACAGCTGTGAGGCAGACTGCTTGTCTAGAATGTTCCAGGCCTTGGGTTCCTTTCCAGCATGGTGTATGTGTGCGTGTGTGTGTATGCTTGTGAGAGTGAGCTTATAAAGCTTGGAAAGATGTTGAATCAAAAATCTGAACGATATGTACGTTTAGTCAGGTTGCTGGATCAAACGTGTCCTGAGAACCACATGCCCCACAATCATTGACTACTGTCAGCCACTGGAGTTGTGTGCTTCTGCTCTTTCCAATGTGAAAACATCCTCTCAAGACCCACCAAAACCCAGCACAGCATGGGGAGCTTTTGAGTTTGTTAATAAATGAGCAAACATTTCTACCAGTGCTAGTGGGGCCTTACGCCCTCCAAGCTCTGTTCAAAAGCTGCCCCCAGATGGGTGCCAGTGGCTCACACCTGTAATTCTAGCTACTCAGGTGGCTGAGATCTGAGGATTGTGGTTCAAAGCCAGCCTGGGCAAAGAAAGTCCACGAGACTGATTTCTAATTAACGACCCAAAAACCAGAAGTGGTGCTGTGGCTTCAGCCTTGAGCTGAAGAGTTCAGGGACAGCGCCCAAACCCACAGTTCAAGACCCATGACTGACAAACAACAACAACACCCCAACAATGTCCCTCAGAGCCACCAACCTGCCTTGGGTTGGTGCCACTCCCTCTCCAGAGCAGTTCCCTTGTGTCAGGCAGAACCTGACAGCCGTTGGTGCCCGGACGCCAGGGTGATGTCTGCGGCACAGCATGGACACAGCGGCCTCTGGGCCAGCGGTACGGGGATCCTCGGGTGAGCCGCACCAGGCACGGCCGCCCAGGCCAGCATCTGGCTTGACTCAGAGTCAACTCTTGGCCCATTTCCCAGTCCTGATATGTGTGTGTGCCTTCCTTGGGGCTGACTGGCGGCCCAGGGCCATGGGAGGGGCCTCTGGACTCCAGACTGGCCCCAGGCTACCCACTGCCTGGTCCACCTGCTTCCCTGTCCACTTCCCCATGGCTCCCCAGTCCCCCCTGCCCTGGCTGCAGGGCTGCCAGGCAGGCTGGGTCTGACAGGCACCAGGAACAAGCAGCCAGCTAAAAGAACTGGCTGGATGTCCCAGGCATGACCAGGGCAGTGGGGACCCGGCTCAGGGAGCCAAGGCTCCCTGCCGTCAGCAGCCCGGCCGGGGCTCAGCGCCCGGGCTGGGCGTCTCTGCTGGGAGTCAGAGGTGGTTTCTATTTTCTCCTTGCTCATCTCAGTTTTCTACAGTCAGCTTTTGTACCTTGTACAATTAAAAATAACTGACAGTGTGTGTAGGCACAGGGGTGATGCTGATCCACCAGCAGCCCACACCTTACATAGCAGGGCTAGCAGCCCCTCGGAGAAACTCAGCCCCTCGGTGGGGGTCACGGCCACTGGGAGGTTGGGCTGGAGAGCCTGACCCTTGGGATGGGGACAGAGGTCTGACACCCTAAGTAGCAAGGGGATGTGGTCCCTTTAAGAAAACAAATGCCAGTGAGAGGAGTTCTCTCCAGCTGGGGAGGGAAGCAGGTTTGTTGCTAGGGGCAACGGGTCACCTAGCAACGAGCTCCCTCTTTCCAGTGCTCGCTCAGGCCTACAGCTGAGGAAGGGGCTTTCAGCCCTCCTTCCCTAACCCTATGTGGTACCCACTCTCACCAGCCTGGTCCTGGGGCAGGTGTCCTCGCCCTCCCCACATCCAGTGCTGCACAGCTGCCAGGGAGGCCAGCCACACCCTCACGCCCACCTGCTCCTCAGGTGAGGTCAGGCTGGCCCTCCCCCTGGCCAGAAGCTGGGGGGGGGCTTCAAGAGAAAAGGGCAGGGGCTGGGCAGTGACCATGGAAGACTGGACAAAGACAGGGAATGAATGAGTCAGAGGGCCAATGGGGGGATGGATGAGTAGACAGATGGATGATGGTTGGGTGGATGGGTGGATGCATGGATAGGTGAATTGATGGGTGGATGACTGGGTGGATGGATAGATGGGTGGGTAGATGAGTGGATGGATGGATGGGTAGGTGGGTGGATGGGTGGATGGATAGATGGGTGGGTGGGTAGATGGATGGGTGGATAGTGGGTGGATGGGTGGTGGATGGGTGGGTAGGTAGTAGGTAGGTGAATGGATGGGTGGCTAGGTGAGTGGATGGATGGGTGGGTGGGTGGATAGATGTGTCGGTGGATGGATAGATTGGTGGGTATATGAGTGGATGGATGGATGGATGGAAAGGTGGGTGGATGGGTGGGCAAGTAGTAGGTAGGTGAATGGATGTGTGGGTGGATGGATAGATTGGTGGGTAGATGAGTGGATGGATGGATGGATGGGTAGGTGGGTGGATGGGTAGATAGATGGATGGATGGGTGGTTGGGTGGATAGGTGGATGGATAGATGGATGGGTGGTTGGGTAGATGGATGGGTGGGTGAATAGGTGGGTAGATGGAGAGGTGGATGAGTTGATGGGTGGGTAGATGGATGGATGGATGGATGAGTGGATGGGTAGGTGGATGGATAGGTGGGTGGATGGATAGGTGGGTGGGTGGGTAGATGGACAGGTGGGTAGGTGGATGGATGAGTGGATGGATGGGAGAGTGGGCAGATGGATAGGGGGGTGGATGAGTGGTTGGGTGGGTGGATGGATGGGAGAGTGGGCAGATGGATAGGGGGGTGGATGAGTGGTTGGGTGGGTGGATGGATGGGTGAATGGGTAGGTAGGCAGATGGATAGGTGGGTGGATGGGTGGTTGGGTGGGTGGATGGATGGGTGAATGGGTAGATGAGTGGATGGATGGGTGGGTAGGTGGATGGATGGGTGAATGGGTAGGTAGGCAGATGGATAGGTGGGTGGATGGGTGGTTGGGTGGGTGGATGGATGGGTGAATGGGTAGGTAGGCAGATGGATAGGTGGGTGGGTGGATGGATGGGTGAATGGGTAGGTAGGCAGATGGATAGGTGGGTGGATGGGTGGTTGGGTGGGTGGATGGATGGGTGAATGGGTAGATGAGTGGATGGATGGGTGGGTAGGTGGATGGATGGGTGAATGGGTAGGTGGGCAGATGGATAGGTGGGTGGATGGGTGGTTGGGTGAATGGGTAGGTGGGCAGATGGATAGGTGGGTGGCTGGTTGGACAGGTGGGTAGAGATGGGTGGAGCACATGTGTCTTGCTCAGCCCCTCTGGGTCGCAACAGGGGATCCCTAGCTTGGGTGTTGCCGAGTGACAGGGGCTGTATGTGTCAAACCAAGGAACGGCCCAGCTGTCCAGGTGGGGTGGAAACCCACAGCTGGTTTGGCCCTGTTCCCCAAGGCTCAGCCGGGCCCAGGTTTGACTTCTAACCCTATTTCCTTTGTGTAATCTGCAGATCATGGAGTCTCACTCAGCTTCTGTCCTGGGTGCGTGACGTCTGTCACCCTTGCCAGCATCGCCAGGCCTCTGAGTTCTGTTCACTCCTCTGACTGTCCCCCTGCCTGAACCCTGCCCACAGGCACTCCGTCCACCCTCCTCCATAAAAGTCAGAAGACCCTACCAAAATAAATGTAGAAAGTCTTACCCAAAAATGCTCCCCAAAATACGACATCCTGGTGACGTCTGACGTCTGTGGTGATGTGGGGGGTCCCTGCAGGTCCTGCCCAGTGTCGGTCTGGAAAGAGTAAGGTTGAATCATGAGTTATACCAGTCCAGCTGGGCAGAGACAGGTGGAACTCCTGCCTGGGGGCCCGCCAGCGTCTGAGAGAGGCCAGTCATGTCCTGAGTCCTCATCTAGGGGACAGCATTGGATACTGACCGCTCCTGGGGTCAGCTAGGCTGATGGCTTGGCACAGGGGTTCTTAGGCATACGTAGGCGTTACTGGGCAGGGCCGCACAAGCGCCAGGTCAGTTCACAGGTGAGTCTCCTGCTCAGAGGGGACGCTGCTACTTGGCTGACCACACCGCAGCCGGCTCAGCGGGACCCCTAGATGGCTCCTGTGGGCAGACAATCTGGTGAGGGAAGCCAGCCAGGCAGGGCCCGTGCGGGGAGAGGGTCCCATGCCCCAGGGCGCCCCTGTCTCCTCAACCCCCTCCCCCCAGGCCTGCCACAGGTACCTTCCTGAGCTGCGGCCCCAACCTCACCCTAAACCATGCAGCCCCAACCTCACCCTAAGCCTCACTCAGCTGGTGGGCCTCAGTGTTCAGCTTAGCACTTCACCTTCCCCATCTGCAAGACAGGGCGGAAGCCTGGAGCTGGAGTGGCCAGGCCACCTGGGCAGTCCTGGGGAGGGGGGAGGGCGGAGGGCAACCCCGGGCCGGGCCACCCTGGGGAGGAGGCTGCCTGTCACCCGAGCCTGCCGGCTCATGCATCATTTATGGCCTCAAGCAGATCAACAGCAGCTGGGAGCCTGAGAGACCAGGGCAGTGGTGGCGGTGGAGGTGGTGGCAGCAGCCGCAGGGGTAGGAGCTGGGCTGGGGACGCAGGATGAAGACACCCTTGGGCCCCACGAAGAAAGGACTGAGCGGGGGCTTGGGCCAGGCTGTGGTTCCAAGCCTCAGTTTACCTACTTTTGAGAGAGCTGGACAGATGTCCACCCTTTGTCTGGTAATAGGTAGTCGGAGATGGGCAGATTGGAGATTCAAAAGCTGGGGAAGCCCTGACTGAAGGATGTGGCAGCTGGGGTTTTCACGCACGAATTGGAGTTGACCAGGAAAACGTAACTAACCATTCCCCAGTGCCAGGCAATGCTGGGGCCTTCACAAAGCCCCCCAAGGAAGCCATGGGGTGCCAGTGTGAGGCCTGAACAGCAGAGCTCAAGTTCCCTTGGCTGACAGCCTGGGTAGGCCCCGGCGCGGTGGACTCTGCACTTTGCTGGGGGGACACTACGGACAGAGCTCGGCTTTAAACCAGGTAAAATGGAGGAACTGAGCCCGGGTCCCCGCCAGGCAGCTGCAGTGCTCAGAGGCGGGGAAGGGGCGTAGGAAATCCTCCCACCAGGGAGCCACGATCCCAGCAGCCAGGATGCCCCTTGCATGCCCCACTAGGGTCCTTCCCTGAGCACCAGGTGCAGCCACCCCACCTTGCATGGCCACCTCGTGGTGGAGACGAGGCCCATCAGCCCCCAGCCTCTGGGGATGAGGACCCCGCTGCTGTGACCTCCTATTTGGAGCCACCAGCACATGTGGGCCCTGGATCCCCAGGTCCCCTGGGTCCCTCACGCGGCCACCTCCGAGAGCCAGCCCCGAGGCCGCGGGCAGGGCCACTCCCCACCCAGGAAGTCACATCTGCTCCGTGTCCTAACCCACACTGCCCAGCTCAGGGTGGCTTTCTGGTCTGAGGGCCTGGAGGGGCCGGAGGGCGTCCTGGACGGGGCTGGAACTCACCCGCCGGCCGGCACACACCATGTGGCTGGGGCTCTGGGGAGAGCAGGCTCAGAGACAGCCACTGGGCCTGGCAACTTCCGTCTCCAGGAGCACAGCGGCGTATGTGGGGGACAGGAAGCTCACCCCGCCTGCTGCCACCAACCGCCACCTCCCCTCCCTCCCCACCCTCCCAGCCGGCTCCGGCAACACCAAGGCTGACAGGAAAGCCAAGGGGAAACTGAGGTCTAGCCCCAGGCCCTGCTGGGGCTGGCATAGCAGACAGGTAATCATCAGGATTACAGTGGTAAAATAAATGACAGCCCTGCATCCACGCACATCCCCTGCCCCCACCCTCCCCGCCACCCCACCCCAGCTGGCCAGAAATGCCTGCCCTATGGGGGAAACTGAGGCTGAGAGGAGCCGGCTTTGTACCATCGCGTGTCCTCCCTCCATGAGAACCAGGACACTGGTACCTGGATGCCCTTGAACATTAGTGTGGGCCCTTCCCTCCCACCACACAGCGAGCGATCTGCCACCACCCAGAGACCAGCCCAGAAACAGTCAGCCCAGGGCAGGAGGTCATCCACCAGTTCCAGAAAACCTGGGGCCCGGGAGCCGCAGAGCCAGGCAGCACTGAGCCAGCAGGGGCCCCAGGCCCCACCTGGAATGGGGTGTCCAGAGCCCCCAGGTCTTGCTGGGTGACCTTGAGCCACCTTTGACCTCTCTGGGCCTCCAGGCTCCCACAAAACAGAGCAGGCCCCTCACCCCAGTTGGCGTGGGGAAGCTGAGGCCCATGGCAGGGTCACGGGGTGACTGGGCCCTCGGGAGCTCCTGTCTTCCTGGCACTCTGCGGTGAGCACCCATGGCGGGCCAGTTGCTTCCCGCCTTGCCAGGGGGTGGAGACGTGGCATTGGCTTCGTCCTCCCCCTCCCTGGTCAGCCATGACCCCGTGACGGGGCACCAATATTATAATTAATACCGTAATGAGCACGTCTGTGCAGCCCACAGCAGGGAGGGGGCGGGGGGGGGCAAAACCACCCCCACCTAGGGGCGTCGCCCCCCTGCCAGGGCCCCCACCCCGCGCCAGGCTGGCCAGCGTGGGTGGGGGAATGTGGGTCAGGGTGTGCCCTGCAGCCCCGCCGGTGAGACCGGCCACCGATGCCACCGGCCAGGTTTCACCCCGGCAGGGCAGGTGAGGCCGGAGCCCGCAGCACAGCTGGGTAAACTGAGGCTCCAGACAGGTGGGGCTCACGCAGGAGCCGCCAAGCCCACCGGCCTCTTGGCCCCAGACAGACATGCCCATCGGAAGCAAGAGTCAGATCACCATCCAGCAAGAAGTGTGTGTGCGTGTGCGCGTGTGCGCGTGTGCGCGTGTGCGCGTGCGCTGAGGAGCTGCCGGACGCAGGGCTCGGTTCCCACCCAAGGAAACTGAGGCCATCGGGGCCCAAGGTCACCAGGGAGGCTGGAGGCGCCGGGCGGGCCGGGAGGGGCCCGGGGGGCGGGGGCCTCCCCGCCGCGGCCTCCGCACCACTCCTGGCCTCCCAAGATCCCCATTTTGCCTCCGTTTATTTTCATCCACAGAGCAGATGCCGCCCGCGCTCTGTTCGGCCGAGGGGGCT